CCATTTGCTTATTTGCTTTTTTGTATAGTTTCAGGCAGGCTCTTCCTTAACTATGTATTTGTCAATGTTAAATTTGTATAGACTGAAGAGAAATCTATCGAAAATATTCCTGAAAAAATTTTCTAAATACAATAGGTAATTAGTTATATGGATCCGAAAAAATGGCCGTTTGACCAAAATGTCAAAATTCTAGACCCTCCAACTCGGAGTGTGTTTGACCGATCCCATTGAAATTTTGTGTCAACAACTATTTTTTAGGACTAACCTTGGTGCAAATTTCATCCCGATCGGAAGACATCGATTTCAAAAGTTGGGTCACTTGAGGTGAAATGCACCATATATATTTTACATATGTATGTATGTACTTAAATTTAAAAATTATCTTAAAAATGTTTAAATAAAATTTATTTACCTATGTATAAAATGGTTTTTATATTAACGATCTCAACCACTTTACATTGAATTTTTACATGTGCTCTGTCGAAACAACATTTTAATATACCTTACGTACATATCGTCGTTTAAAGTACAAAACCGCGTATCAACAAAATGCAAAACCGCGTATGTGAGGTCGCAATGGTCCTCTTTTTTATAAAGCAATCGCATTTCTGGCTAGTATATTTCAGGACGAATGGATAAGGATTGAGCCAATAGCTTGTGTGAGCAAATCAATATTTGGCAGCAAATGTGAGTTACGCGGTTTTGCAGAATGACGATACGCGGTTTTGTAATTTAAACGACGATATGTACCTTTATATACAATAAATGTTTAATAAGAACAATTCTGTGTGCATACATTTGAAAAAGACGTTTTTGGGTAGGAAATGTCGTTTTTCCACACCAAGAGGGACGTTTTCTCATGCCGAAGACCTGGCAACACTGCGTGGTGAGCATTCGTGGGCACTATAGGTTCATTCCTTATCTTTTTGGACTAAAATCTGAAAAGTGTCAAAATGCCAGAGCGTAAGCAAAATGCGCTCACTAAAAGAGAATAACAGGAAAAGTAAAGGAACGCAAAAAACCAAATTTTTAGTCCAAAGAATGGCAACAACAAAGCTAACGTCAAATAAGAATGGAAATGTATGTACAAAACACATTCACACAAGCAGAGCACAATAAACACTTACTACATCAATTATTTTATGCCTCCTTCCAATTTCAATTCACTTTTTTTACTTTTTAGATTATTCTCACTTTTTGCGTATTCTTTAATTTCCGTTAATTTAAATTTAGTTGAGTTTGACACTTTTCAGGATTTTTCCAGAAAAAATTCTTCTGACTAAATCTGACTACTTCGGACTGATGAGAGTCACTCTCACTGGGTGTTGCTCTCTCATTTTAGCTGTCATTTCCGAGTTAAGGAACGCTTTTTGGACTAAATCTGACTACTTCGGACTTTTTCTGACTATTTCTGGGAGATAAGGAACGCTCCTTATCTCAAAAAGCGGTAGCTAAAAGTGATAATGTGTTGGTGTGCTTAATTCATTTTCATGCTGTCGCGTTCTCATCGTTACGCTCTTGCTTGTATACTTACATGCGATGGTTAGCTCTCTGTCCATGCCTGGTCATGAGGCAAATATATTTGCGCTACCTTTTAATATACATATGGATATGTATTTATTTATGTAAATAAGTAAATATGTACGTATGTATGCGCACACACGCGTGTTAGTTATGCAAATGTCTTACACTAATTAAAAATCAATAAACATGCAACTAATAAAGCAGAGATCATACGATTTATACATTTTGACAGTTACAGAGTAGGGTTGTTTGAAATTGTTCATTGTGCTGAACTCATTCTCGATAACAATTTCTAGAGAACACCACTCTGTGAATGTCCAAATGTACAAATCTGTACAAATGTACAAATCTGTACAAATCATGTGTTCCTTGCCTAAAAAAAGACCTGAAGCCAACCTTAAAAATCCCACGAAGAAAGATTTTATTTCACCACTACAACACTGAAATTCACTTTACTAAATTTTCGATTTTTTGGACTCACAGAAGGACCCCTTTTTAGATGAAACTCTCTAAACGACTTTCCGCTCCAAAAGGAGCGTTTGATCCACTCTGTGAAGATTGAAAACTAGACTAAAACATCACTGGAAATCTCGAAAAGTCATTACTCGAAGCTGAATACTATGTAAAACATGGCTTTGCACAGTTAACTCCACGCACAAGTTATCAAATCAAATGGTTCAAAATTACGTGACAATCGAGGGCAAAAAATTGCGATGATTTATTGCTGCGTGTCGAGAAATTATCGCTAAGTGTTTTATAGCAATTGAACGGATGAGTAGCGAATTGCCCAAGTTGTGGACAATTGGATGTGTTTAAACCTGGCGACTGTCAACAAATATTTCTGATGTCTCACTGCAAGCGAGTTCAACAGAAATGTGTTTAGCTAGCTGGCTGACCGGGCTGGTCTTCGTTGAGGTGAACGCATCGTAATTTCTGCAGATGGAGAAGACAATGTAGATCTGTTTATTCGTGTGTATTTATGTAATCATGTGTAGTGAAAAAATAATTGAGTTTGTATATGTATACTGCATATAGCGAAAGGGTGGAAACGGTCGGGGCAAATTTTTAAATGAGTGTTAAATTAAATTTAGCAAAAATTCTCAAGCACTGCGCATTTGTATAGATATGTTTATTAGGGTGCCCATTGAAAATGTTTTTTTTTTTGGAAATTTAAAGACCCTACCCCCTAATTTTATTCGTTTTTATAAGAAATATGATGGCCTATTTTTATCCATTTTTTAAAGCTCATTTAGAGGTCGCGACCTGTCGATTTAGGTCATAAAATAGGATTTTGTAGATTTACAGGTTTTTGAATGACTATTTTTGATTCGATTTCAGAGATGCGATCTGAGAAGAGGATATATAGGCCTTTAAAATGGTATACATATAATAATCTATTGTCGGACTTGGCTTCTTAGGACTTTTTATCGGGTAAAATAAAAAAAATCATATTTCTCAAAATATGGAATACTATTTAAAATTAAATCTATTTTCAAATAAACTGATACCTTATTTATTGCAATCACATAAAAATTGTCGAAGTTAGCCGACTTTACTTAAATACGGCCTTGAAATTATATGTGTGTATGTACCGGAATTTCAGATTTTTTGAGCAGTGTGGCTAAGAAGTTCATCAATATTTATTAAAAATTGATATATACAATCGCTTTTTAGCAAAAAAGTGGTTTTTCAAGAAATATTAGGAAAATGGGGTGGTACCGCCCACTTATATGATATATGCGTATCTCAAAAACGACTTGACCTATCTCGACCAAATTTGGTATGCACATTGTGCTTAGGCTTTTTAGGCGCCATATTGAAAATTTTAGAAATCGGACAAAAACTACGGGCTCCACCAACGTAACGGTAATTTTAAAAAAACTCAAAGCTAGCTATATTTTAGGGGGAGTACGTTTTTTTCCGATTTCTAAAATATTCAAGACGGTATTTAAGGAGGCTAAGCACAATTCGTGTACCAGATTTAGTCGAGATCCGTCAAGTAGTTTTTGAAATACGCATATATGATATAAGTGGGCGGTGCCACCCCCATTTTCCTAAATTTTCTTGAAAAAGCACTTTTTGCTAAAGAGCGATTGTATATATCAATTTTGAATAAGTATTGACGAACTCCTTAACCACACTGCTGAAAAAATCTTAAATTCCGGTACATACACACATACATTCGAGACCGTATTTAAGAAAAGTCGCCTAAATTCGACAATTTTTATGCGACTGCAATAAATGAGGTATCAGTTTATTTGAAAATATATTTAATTAGTAGATAGTAGTATAGATTGTTATATACCATTTTAAAGACCTATATATCCTCTTTTAAGATCATATTCGATCTTTGAAATCGAATCAAAAATAGTCATTCAATAACTCATAAATCTACAAAATCCTATTTTCTGACCTAAATCGACAGGTCGAGACCTCTAAATGGCATTTAAAAAATCTATAAAAATAGGCAATAGGTAGGGTCTTAAAATAAAAAATAAAAAAACATTTTCCACGGGTACCCTAATGTATATGTAATATTTGACGTATTCATATCCATATGCATGTTGGTACATGTGTGTATATAAAATAAAGTGTGTTGGTTGGTATTGTTGATACATTGCCAGAGTAAAGGGCTCACGCCATTACAGCCTATAGTTTATATGTGCTTTTAATCTCATTAATGCCGCGTGAGCAAATGAAAAGTAATAATCTGATAATTGCGCCAAAGTGCAAAAATGCAGACGTACATTTGTACATACACTCCGTTCCATAACTATAGACTCTAGGTAATGCAATGTTAAGCGAAAATAAGTGGTGCAACAATTACACTGTATGCGTAACATTTTAAGTTTGATTCTCGGGAATTGAAAAAAATGTTTCTGAAAGTCTGGATTGTATATAACAGAGTGATTGCTCAGTCTTCTCAGGTCGGTGATTTTAAGTGTTTTTTGTTCAATTTGACCAAGCAAAAAATGTATCCAAATGTATGCAATTTTCTTTTTTTTACTTATCCATCTCATAATTTGTAAGAAAACCAAACATTTTCAAGAAAAAGACATAATTTAAACCATCCTAAGGACTTGGAATACATGCATATATTTTTATTTTCCATAAAATCAAGCATTTATAATTTCAATTAATTTTTTGTGCATAAGTATTTTGCAAAGTAAGTATAATAAATAGGGATTAATATGTTACATTTGTACCTGTACACTCTAAAAAGTACATGCAAAACTACTACAGAAGATGTCAAGGATTTGATTTTGAACTTGAGATCTTCAATATATACACATGAAATGTTGAAAATTGCAAAAATTTTTAAACTAAAAATACATTTATTACTAATATTAAACATTAGGTGCTCATATGTACTCTCTTTTAAACATTTTATGTGCCATGTAAAAGTAAACAGGCAGTGTTTAATTTTATTACACGGTAGGAAACTTTGCGCACATTAAAAGAGGAAACTGGTTACCTCCCTTAATATGCGCAAATTTCAACAAAAATTTTTTCGAGTGCATTTAAAGTCATTTCAGTAAAATTCATACAAATTTCCTTTAATAAATCAAATTTAGTTTTTTAAACAGTGTATTTTAAATGACACCGAGATCTTTTTAACCGACTTCACAAAGAGGAGAAGGTTATCAATTCGTCGTTAATCTTTTTTTATGTATCTTAAAGCATAGAAAGACGGCAACGTTGATCCGGATTAACAGCGCAGTTGATCTGATCAAAACTATGCCTTGGCACACGGCAGTAATGTGAATTTTTGAGCCTCGAGGTCGTAGATTCGAATCCCATGGCCAGTAAAATATTATTTAATTTTTTTTATTCATTCAGTTATAACTTCTATATTTTTTTTAAGTTGGTTTTAGTTAGTTGCCGTTGACTTTTTTGGTAAAATTAAACTCTAAAAATCGAAATTAACTAATAATAAAATAAAAAATGGGAAATAACATAAATCAAACGAAAATAAAATAAAGTAAAATTAAATATATTAATCAAATCAAAAAACTATGTAACAATAAAAACAAAATTTTTTTGGCAATCGCTCCAACCGAGGATCGAACCTGGGACCTGCAGGCTTGTAGTACGTAGCCCCCACCATTCGGCTACCACGGATGAAGTTGTTGGCTGCATTGTTTGCGTTTATGTTTGCTCAGAGAGCGTAGAACACAAGTCGGTAATGTATTCTCCGTATACATTCAAACAAGTTCTTATTCAATTTTAATTGGATTCCTATCTGAATTAGTACGACGACTGCATTACCGATGAGAAGGTATATGCCCATGCTAGTTTTGTACTTTCTCTGTATTCTCCGCTCTCTGAGTTTTCGCCAGTGTTGTCATTCGCTTGATCCGAGTTAAGTTTGGGAATTAACTCTAGGAATTAAACCGGATCAACTGCAGTTAATTCACGAGATAATTCCGAATTAACGAGTTGCTCCGGATCTACGCTGCCATCTGTTTAAGCTTTTACCCCATATCTTCGGACCACGTTAACCGATTTCAATAATTGTTTTTTTTTATGAAAGGTGTTACCCCATAGGTGGTCCCATACTAGTTTGGTTTAAATCCGATCATTTGGTCATGAAGAGACTAACGATAATCTAAAATTTTTATATAAGAATTGATATCGTTTTTTTTTTGCTTAAAAATTACTTGTTAAATTAAGAAATTAAAATATGTGATACGAAAGAGATCACTACAGAAGGAGTATATATTTACTTTATATATATGTATATATTAAGATATTGCTTAAAGCACCATTTTTAGCTAATTAAAACAGTTGCGCTTATTTTAGTGACATCTCTTCATATGTTCATTGCTTCTTCTTCTTCTTCTTATTTGGCGCTGTAACCGCCTACGCGATTTTGGCCGAGTCCAAAACAGCACGCCAGTCATTTCTCTTCTGTGCTAACTGACGCCAATTGAAAATGCCAAGTGAAGCCAAGTCCTTCTCCACCTGGTCTTTCCAACGCAGAGGAGGCCTTCCTCTTCCTCTGTTACCAGCATCGCGGCCCGCGTTGAATATTTTCAGAGCAGGAGCGTTTCTGTCCATCCGAACGACATGGCCAAGCCAGCGGAGCCGCTGAATTTTAATTCGCTGCACTATGTCTATATCGTTGTAAAGCTCATACAGCTCATCGTTAAATCGTCTGCGATATTCGCCATCACCAACGCGTAAAGGTCCGTAAATCTTTCGCAGAATCTTTCTCTCGAAAACTCCAAGAGCCGCCTCATCAGATGCTTTCATTGTCCATGCTTCCGCGCCATACACCAGCACAGGCATGATGAGTGACTTATAGAGTGTGATCTTTGTACGACGAGAGAGGACTTTACTTCTCAATTGCACTTGTTGGCAAGAGTGATTCTCCGTTGGATTTCAAGGCTGACATTATTATTGGTGTTAATGCTGGTTCCCAAATAAACGAAGTCGTCTACTTTTTCAAACTTGTAACTGTCAACAGTGACGTGGGTGCCAAGACGCGTATGC